TCTTTCAACCAAAGCTGGATTGTTATTACATTTTTAAGCAAATAATTGAGAGAAAGCCATATCATAACCTAAAACTGGTACAGAATTGCAATCTGTAGGTTAATTTGGTGACAATATTTTTAATGATGTATGTCACTAGTACAACTTACTGGTACATTTTTGCCCCAAAGCATCATTGACATGTTTTTCTGCTAGAATAAATTAACATTCCTGTATCATTAGACAGAAATAACAAATTCAAGAACCAATGCAAACAAAAAGGGGAGTGGGGTGTGAACAGCTTTTTACAATTAAGGGAGGCATTGTCACACCTCATTTTTATAAAGAAGCAAGATTGTGAAAATTACAAATGCCTGCTATTTGGCCACATGCTATATATTCATAAATAGTGAAGTAGGTACTATTTTAAACCAAATTAATTTATTCAGCACATAATCTTTGAGCACCTATCATTTGCTAGGCACTGTGACAGGCCCTGGGGATATACAGTAGAGTTTCAACTATGGTCAGGAAAAATAGTGAAGCGTGAAATCCTGTAAGTCACCCAAAAAGTACGACATATGTGATTTTGTATATAAAGTCCAGTTCAATATTTTCTCAATGAAGTTGAGCTAGATCAAGGGGAAAAATGTAATAATGAAATATATTCAAGTGCCTGACTCTTTAAGACATTAAAACTTTAAGGGAACTATCAATCTCTAGCCACAGGAGTATGGGTGAAGCATTTTAAATTTTCCCTCTTGTCTACCACATTTATTCTGTTTTATTTCATATTTAAACCTCAAAAATATTACTGTATAATAATAAATTTATTTTGTTTTGATTTTTAAGTTTAAACATAGCAGTAGTATGCCATTTTGGAGGAGGGGGTTACAGACTGAAGTCAGAGGGACAAATATGCTTATACCGAACTCCTCCACACTGGAAGCATTTATTATTGCTCATAGTAATGCTCAGCTGGGTAATGTTGATGGCTTCAGCTGGACTTGATTACATGATTGCAATTAGCTGTGGGTCAGAATGACCATTGTGTTGATCTTCATGGTTAAAGACAACAGGTCTAAGATGGATTCATCTGGAAAACCTGTGTGCTTTCATCCTTCATATGGTGAAGATAGGGTTCCAAGACAGACTAGGAAGGAAGTTCTCATTTTGACTAAGATCTATCGGCCAAAGCAATCAGAAGGCCAGTGCTGCATGACAGTGAAAGAGAATTACCAAGTTATAAAGCAAATAATGTGAATATAGGGGGACCATTAGTGGGAGTCATCAGTGTAATCAATTTGCCACACCCCTAAACAGACCAGCAGCATCAATCCTCTGCCCTAATGGGCATATGTAACAAGGTTTGCAAAAGTACTGAGGCAAAGGACACCTAAATTTTCTTAGAGCACAGAGAGTTCTGACTGGACTGATTCCTTCAAAAGGAGTGAAATTTTTCTTCTGAGTCATTGTATGTTCCTTTCCTTTACCCAGTTGAAAAGCTAATTTGGTCTGCTCTTTAAAAAATGTATTCTTTTTTTCTTCTTCTTTTGTTTTTTACACTATGAATCTCTTTGCCTAGAAGTTCTAGGCAGAATTTTTGTGTAATACAACAAGCCACAGTAAATATTTAGTCATGTAATCTGTAAAAAACCCATAAATCACAGGAAATTGCAAGTATAAGAGATTAACATTGAAGCTGAAACCCGGGTCTCCTATTGTCTCCTCTGAAATTCTGTGATAGCCTACACTTTCTTGAAGGAACAACTGGTGGTAGGTGTGACACAGGATTATCAGGTTTAAGTATAAAATATATGGGAAATTGGAGAGATAAAGTGTTTTTGAAAGTAGGACTACATCTTTTCATAGATTTCAATGGCTCATGTGAAAGCATTTAGACATTTCCGTGCTCTTCAAGAAGAGGAATATCAACTGAGCAAAGGAGAATAATTATAAGGACAAGGGATAAATTAGGTTTGCCAATTTATCTAGGGCTAGAGAGGATTACCCCAACCCAGCCAGAGAAAGAGGCTGAAGTAAGAACTGACATCATCATTTCATGGAAGATTCCACAGAGACTTCCTGAAAAGCCAAGCAATGGAAAACCAGGCATAGCCTTGGAGAGTTTCCACAGTACCCAACATATCTGTGTTTTGTGTGACTCAAGCACTTTTCTTATCCTGGAGGTGAGTTTTACCCTGTGAAAAGTCCTGCCATGCCACTCCTATACTGATAAACTGTAAAGCTTAATTCCATATAACCTCATTATCTATATACTTGTTTGGGATCAAAGCAAGATAAATACTTCTTGACATAACCACATAAAACAGTAAGTCAAGGGGTATTTCCTCCAATCTTTGAATGGTCAATTTTAAGGTTTGTTCTCTCCTGAATCCTGATGGTACCACCCAAATATTTTGCCTGAATTTGGCAATCCAATTTTTATTGTCTTATTTTTTTGCCCATAAACACAATGTTTTCTTGTTACTGTTATATTTCAGTAGGTAATTTATGCATTTAATAGACAACTTCAAGTGTATGTATGTAAAAGTTGTACATGAAAAGTGTTCTACCTTATTCCCTGACTACTTAGATTTCCTCCCAGAAGGAACAACTGTTAGCAGTTTTGTTCTTCTCTGAGAACAATTCTATTACTATGCAATCAAATGGTTTATATAAAAACCACTTTTAGACAAATAAAATATCTTATATAGAACTGTACCTTGATTTTTTTCACTCGAAATGATCTTGGAGATCATTATTATTATCTCATTATCTATAGAGTGCCTCATTCATTTTAATAGCTACATAATAATGCATAGTGTGAATGTATCATAATTTACTTCACTAGATTGCTAGATTACCATTGGTGTACATTTAGATTTTAAAATAACACTTTAGACTAGTAAAAGCCAGCGGTCATGACTATGAGTTTCCCTTATTGCACAATCTTGCATTAATATCCCACCACCAGTAGTGACCAAGCTCTACTCGTCTGAAGCTAGAAGGAAGTCCCCATTAAATTTATGACTTATTTGAGACAAACCAAAACATACCTTTACACTTGGCCTTTTTCAAACATATTTTTTATTTCTCATATCCTCATATTTCCTCATGCCCTTCCCTAAAATCTCTCCCTAAATTTTCACCATCAGAATGCTACTTATTTAAATTAAACTGTCAAATTCCATTTCCTTTTCTAAGATTTCCACTATGACCCCCGAACCACAGAGGAAGAGATGATTTTTTTTCCTGCTAATTTACTTTAGAGACATATTTGTAACTTTGTGTCATCTTGAATTATTGTTATATAAGTATTCACACATGCCTCATTTCCTTTGCCAGATTGCAAGTCCATTGAAGGTTATGATATATAAAACACAGCTGTCCTTCACAGGATTATCAGAGGGTCATGCATATATTTGTGCTTAATAATATGTGTTGCATAAATATATCCTCAGGTCGTGATTCTTATGGATTCTGCTAAATTATAACAGTACACTAAACTAGAAGTCAGTAGCTATGGGCCCTACTCCTGGCTCTAAAATTATTATTAGGTAAATATTAAGTGAATTATTTAAACTCTTAAAGACTTTGTATTTTAAGGTAGGAATAAAATATACAGGTTCTCTGTATCATTGGCTCGTTGTGAGAATCAAATGAAATGGTGGTTTTAAAACAAAAATCTCAGCACTAGAAAAAATGCAAAGGTCTCTGAATCCAAACTTCTATCCATTGAATCCAAACTTCTATCCATTGTTCAAAATCTTTCCATATTAACATCCTTCTAGGTAAACTATCAACTAATACATGGAAATGTCTAGATATAGAGAAGTCTCAATCCATATAGAATCCAGTTTTTTTTGCAGCTCTGAATATTATTAATGAGTGGCTATACAGTATAATTCATGATATTATACCACTTGATAATGAAAATTTTCCTATATCTGATTGGTGATTGGCTCCCAACCTTTCAAGTGGGGTGAAGCAACTTAACCCCTCACTGTACAGGATTAGATTGTTTGGACCACAATGATATATTATTGAAAAATTTTAAAAATCTCAATAAATATAATAATTCAATGATTTATAAAAAGTGTTTTTATATCTTCTTCAGTATTTTACAGTGCTTAATATATGCACTTTGTTGTCCTAGAACGAGCGTTGCATAACAAATGAGTTTCACCACTGGGGTCACTTAACCTCTTCAGGTCAAACCAAGCCTATCTCAAAGAGTCCTGGTCAAAAAGTAACAAATATTGTATACAAAAGCATATTTAAAACACCATAAACAACAAAGCACTAATTATTATTTTGACTGTTATAAAACATCAGTCAGATTTTTCCTTCCTCATTATTCTTTGAGCATAAAGAAGCAGTAAATTTCAAAGCACACCTATTTTGAATTGTTAAAAATTATACATCCCAAATATGTTCTATACAAAAGTAAAACTAATTTATTCTTATCTCCATTTCAGAGTTGACTATTCACTCCATTGAAAATAGTTGTAAGACTAAACTATTTACTGATTCTCTATAGCAGCATATCTGGGCTTGAACTTGCTACCTTTAATCCTATATGCATTTATGTGCACGTTTCTTTATCAAAAACAGTAAGCAGTTGGAGAAACCTTAAAATGTTAAAAATGTGAGGTGTTCAGTGAAGATCTAGAAACTTAAAAACTTCTAGGAACAAATATCAAAAACCATCATTATAGCAGAGTTACTATATAGCAGAAGTACAGTACAGTATCAGTACAGCGGAAGTAAATAATGTAATAAATAATTTTTAAAAATTCTATTTCACCAAATCATGAACACACAAACCCTAATATTAGCTTAAATCTGTCTCTCTAGTTATCTGCCATCCATTCCCTTCTTATAGTACTGGTATAACTGGGGCAACTCAAAATATCCAAAATATTTAATAAAATAGTTTAGTCTTCCAAAACCTGAAATTTTAACCAGGAAGTTGCCGTGTGCGTAAGACATACTCAGTGGATGTAAAGGAAACTTACCTTCTGTGTGCACAGCTGACACATAAGTCCAGTTGTACCTCTTCACTATGTCCACCATGGCTCGTGCCTGCTGGGCATCTGAAGGCACAACCCTCATGAAGTACTTGAACAGAGTCTTGTCACTCAGATCCATGCTGGTTGCTGAGTAAGCAATCTGAGGTATGTTGAAAAGCTGGAGCAAGTTCTGGACCTGAATGGCCACAGAACTGGAGCCAGGCCCAATGACCCCTACTATGGGCTTCTTGGAACGGAAGGAAGAAGAAGAGCCATCCACACAGCGTACCAAGCCCTCTTCCTCTTCTGAAGAAATGAGTGAATCTCTTATGAACTCAATGCTCTGCTCTAGGGCCACAGCCGAATGCCAGCAGGAATCCCTTATCTCACAGCCCAGTGTGATGTTGGGCAAGAGTGTGGGGTCTGAATTGATTCTTTCCAGGGTGTGCAGCATGGCCTCCACTCTTTGAATGCCATACTGTTCACGGACTGCCCCACACTTCCTCTCGTGAACTTTGTCCACGGTAGGCTGGTGGTGGACAGAAAAGAGAGCTCCGATAATGATGTCTCCTGGCATGTGAGCCACCACCCTCCTCTCATTGGACTGTGCACTCCCACGGACATCTTCTTTCAATAGCAGGACTGACAGGATCAACAGAAGGACCATTTTAGGAAAGGAGTTCAAGCTAATAAAGATAGCATGGTGGGAAAATTTAGTGGAGTTCTGATACATACAATCAAACAACGTCCTACGTTGAGTGGCAAACCAAGGAATCAGCCAGCAATTTAGATGCGTTCTCTAAAGGACCACCATGTCCCCAGGTACCATTTAGTTAGAGGTATCCATGCAATCATGATCTTCAAAACCTGAAAAGAAAAAATAGCATAGGTCTTTAACAACATAAGTGTGACTAGTTTGGGGAAACTCTAAAGGTCTATGCTAGCAGAGAAAGAAAGCGTTTTGATGGTGTTTATAACACAGAAAAAAGAATACAAAAATTTTCCTGACTTTCCTTTGTCTGTCTCCTTTGTGATTTGATGAAGCAGATGATGTAGCTTCTTGACCCTGCCTAGCTTAGATTAATATTTTTTATTTGTTCATCTGGAGTACACAAAACCAAATCTTATCTGTGGCAAGCAGAACTGTACTCTGAGGTAGAGGTAAGACAAAATATCCCAAAAGCAAAGTGATGCCATGAACAGAAAACCCTCGGAAGTATGAAACCCAAAATATTAAACATTGGTGACCTCTAGGTGATGGGATAGTGGGTAATTGTTTAATTTTCACAATGCCTTTTGTTTCTTTCCAGATTTTTAGCATTGATCATGTATTAATTATGCAATTACAAAAATAATGTCATCTTTCTAAAAAATCCCTATATACCTCCTCTCCAAATGTAATGTAAAGCAAGGTGAATAATCTTATCAAGAATAAATAAGTATTGTGTCTAATTAACATATAATATATAACAAAGAAAATGAAGAGAGGTGAGTATTTCAAGTTAAATGAACTGTAGGAGAGAAAGAAGAAGGTTGGGATATTACAGTGTGAAATGTCTCTGAAATAGGCAACAAGGAATAATGAAATGAGCACCAATCTTTGGAGAAAAGAATATTTAGCTTCAAAACCCCATTTTGCAATAAGAAGTAAATTGTTTAACGTCTTAGTACTGGAATTTCCTCGTTTGAAAAATGAGGATAATATGGGCTAGAGTTCCTCTTATGGGGATCAACCTAAGATAACAACCATGCAAATGCTTTGTAAATTAAATAGGAATGTATACATTCAAGACATGATCTTTTTTGTTATCTAATTTCCAAGGGCATTCTATGGCTAGATGGTGAGGACAGAAAATTCTCTGGCAACCCACTTGGTCCTCCAGAGAGTCTTCAAAGTATTTACAGTCTTGTAATAAAATTCACAGTAATCAGTCCTCTAGCTCCAATCCAGAAAAACATTTCCACATCGCTAAGGCACAAACGGTGGAAAGGATGTATGTTAGGAACTATCCTTCCAAGTAGAAATTTGATATAGCTATGAATACAGTTATTTAGTTCAACTTAAATTTCTGGGAAGAGGAAATTTTGTCCCAAGTTTCCTACAGCAAGTTCTAGCATAATTTATAAAATAGAACTGACAAATTAATGATTTAGGTTATTTAAAGAGATTGTATAAGAGACTTATTTTGTGTGTTATCATCTCTACCAGCCAAGAATCTCAAGTTGTTTTAAAGTGACTAGCTCCCTAAACTCTACCTTTGAAAGACAGGTGATGTTTCTTCAGGAATTTATGCAATTATCATGCTTCTACACGAATACTAATGGCTTCAAACTCATCAGATCTGCAAAAATTCCAATCCAGACACAAAATGAATATAATTTGAATCATATTTATCACTCCTACCCTCATTTTCACTGTTTCCTTCTACTGTTTCCTATGGCAACAGAGAAAGGCTGCCTCTGTATAGTTTCAAACACCAAAATAAAAAAAGAAAAACTCATCAAACAAATAGATGTTCCATAATAACTAGGAGTTTGGCAATATATAGGAAAAAATGGTATGAAAGTTGACATAATAGACAAGGGGAAAGGAAACAAAGACTGATGTTAATTTTCTCATTGGTAAATTATCTGAATATTCTCAAACCTTCCTTTCACTTTCCTTAGACCAAAGACCTAGGGAATAATTCTTATTCTCATGATCATATGAATTCTACTTAAGTAAAAAAAAAACTGAAATAAAAGTAAGCACAATTTGTTATTAAATTCAGAATGTTAGTGAGCAAACCCAATAAAAAAAAGAACCAATTTTTTAATATAGGAACATCAAAGTGATATGAGAGACTAGAAGTGGCCTATGAAACTAATGAAACTAAAATATCAATCCCATACATTTTATTTGTTAGAGTTATTTTAGGAAAGCCCTATACATTGGGACATGGTATGCATACAGAAACACTGAAAGATTGTCTTCTGAATATATGCTAAATTAATTAACTCATTTAACAAAGATTACCTACTGAGTGGAAGAGTCTAATGTAACAAAGATGTTCAATGATGTACATTGATGAGTATGATCATGATCTTTCATTGAGCACCCATCATGTCCCAGCCATCTATTCATTAACTCATTTAACACATATTTATGCCATGCATATGATATGACTGTCTCCTGGAAATTGAATATTTAAGAGTAAACGACATATGCATGCTCCCTGTATTCATGGCCCTTATGAATCAGTACTCTAAAGGGTGACTTTAGCTGAAACCCGATGAATGCAAAGAACAATGAAGATAAGAAAAAAGAAGCCAGTAATATAAAAAGTGTGGCTGGGACATGAAGAATGGGAGGGGTGGTGGTACAAGATGAGGTTTGAAAGATAAGAAAAAGCCCATGTAGGCGCTCGTAGAATTTTAATGTTAAGCACAACAGAAGGCCATTGAGAAGATGTAAGCAAATAATTGGCACCATTCAGTCTTAGAAAGGCTTATTCTGGCTGCCCATTGTTCTGGATAATAGATTGGAGAAATCTTATTAGGAGACTCTTGTAATAATCTAGTAAGGGATGATAGTGGTTTGGCTAGGATTGGTGACAGTGAATGTAGAGAGAAGTGGACATGATCAGACATATTTTCCAAATAGAATCAACTGGACTTGCTGATGGACTGGATGTGTGTAGCAAGTAGGGATAGGAATCAGGGTCTACTCCTAAGCTTCTAGTCTGAAAATCTAGTGCATTTTTACATCATTAATAGAGATGGGATAGGCTAGTACATAAACAGATGAGGGGTGGAATAAAATCAATGATTTTCTTTTGAATATGTTAAATTTGAGATGTTTTTGATGCAATCAGGTACAGGTATCAAGCAATAAAGTGGATATACAAGGCTCGAATCAGAGGAGAGCTTTGGGTTGGAGATGTAAATCAAAGGCCACCAATATATAAAATCTTTGGAATGCATGCAATCACCTGAAGAGCAAGTATAAATATGGGAAAGGTGGAGCTAAGAAGTAAGTCCTGCTGAAAGGCCAGCTTTGGGAAAGAGCAGCTAAGAAAAGGAGACAACCCAGAAAGTAAGAAAAGAAAATAAGAGCATATAATGCCAAGGAAGGCAAAGGTAATGTCTTAGGCACTTTATATTCAGAGACATATCCAAGGCTTCTATGTTGCAGAGAAAAAATACATCTGGTTCCCATGCATGATATTATATTTGATGTGCATTGTAAACCTTAAAGATGCATGACATAATAGTTCCCTATGTGTGTGTGGGGGGGGCATATATGTATGAATAATCCTCATAACAACGCTGAGATGTAAGTGCAGGATTAGTATCCCATATCCAAAAAACTTGGGACCAGAAGTGTTTCAGATTTAAGAATTTTTTTCAAATTTCAGAATGTTTGCACTATACTTACTTGCTGGTTGAGCATCCTAAATCTGAAAATGCTAAATTTGAAATGCTCGGGGAGGAGCCAAGATGGCAAACAAGAAAAGCCACCAGTCAGAATGTCTCTGCAAAAAATACGAATTTTAGAAGAAAGAGAAAAAAATAAGCTAGCAGAGAAACATAGATTGGGTGAGGATCCGAAGGAAGAGTGCCTGAAACTACAGGAGACTCCACAGGAAGACGTTGCGGAGGAGAACTGGAAGGAGAAAGGTCCCGAGAGGCTTGGAGACCAGTGACAAGGGTAGGTGGAGCAGATAACTTCCCCTTCCCTTGCATCTCGGACTGCTGGTGAGCTCCTGAGCGGCTGGACAGACCTGCCGACACCAGTCCAGAGACGGCTGCCGCCAGTTAGCAGTAGCCTCTTGCGGACTCAGCGCCGGGCTCCAAGCCCCACAGGGCACCACCCCGAGTGCAGACCCGAGCCTATCGGCAGATGCCATAGTGCTCCATTCTTTCCTTCCCCCTCCCTACTCGTGGATGCCAAGAGAGACAATTTAGCCATCACACAGAGGCATCTCCAAGGAACGGGACCTTTCCTTTTGGGGCCCTACAGCAGACTGAGGGGTACTGAGACTGCGAGTTCCCTACCCGCCAGCCCTCCCAGGTGCTACTTGCCTGGGGACTACAGGAGAGTGGGGAAAATCCCGAGGAGGAGTGAAATCGATCCAGCTTGGGCACCCTGTAGGTGATTCAAGACCAGCACCCCTTCCCCCGGCAAGGTCACGGATTGATCTCCAGGGTCCAGGGGACAGGCCTGCAGACCAGACCCAGTACACCCAGGTCAGGATCGCACTGCCCTGGGGCACAGAAGAGAAATCTGTGAAGGAGCCTACTGAGGAGAGTGCGCCTTCAGGGGCAGATCAGTGTGCCGGAGCCGTAACCCTCCTCCCAAAAGAGGGCTGTGCTCCCAGCTCAGGATACAATCTGGTAGAGAACCTTCCGGCCCACGTCACAGCCAGGGGAGATCCATCAGCCAGAGTTCCCACTTGCTGGCAGAGGCCTGGGAGAGGCCATGGAAAGGGGAAGAGTGGAGGGGAGCAAGACCTGCTCCAGAGTGCGAGTCTTGGACAGCCCCAACCCCCAAGCCCAGACTTTCAGCTGAGTGGACCCATTTCAGCCCCTCCCGGCAGCTTTCCACAGAAACAAAGAGTAGACCTTTGACCCTGCTAGCAGCAGTTGTGGAGCCTGAGGGCAGGTTTGCCCAGCCCCCCCACCCAGATTCACTCCTGGTCCTGCCCCCACCGAGGTGGAGAATAAGGACACACTTGGAAATCCCAGGGCCCCACCCACCACCCGAGCCACAAGAGGGCCTCTCTAGAGGAATAAGAGCTAGCTACAGGACCCAGAAACAGCACTGCAGATCGCTCCTCCCTGTAAGTGCCACCAACTGACAAGGAGGTCATCCTGCACACTGTTTG